ATTCCAGAGCCGTATGAACGTTCTGTGGAATAGTGATTGGGTTTTACTTCTACTGCTCATCTGCATTGAACCAATGTCTCTAACTCATACATCAAAACAGACCTTTTTTTTTTCTTTTTAGACAAATTTAACCATCAGTATGGTGCTGCTGTCTCAAATGGAATTCTTCTGAGAAGCAGGAAACAGGCAGATGATGAGTCCAGGAAGAAGGATTTACCCCCCAACCCTCATGCAGCGTCTCCAACACCGCCCTTGTTCCTTTTTTAAAAAAGGAGAGAAAGAACAAATAAACACTGAGTGCTAAATCAACCTTCCCCCCTTTTGATCTCCTATACATCCTCACCCGTATGGATTAAGGTTAGCAGAAAGATGAGAATGGAGAGGTGGCCTACACACACACACACACACACACACACACATAGACTTCACACATTTCCACACATGGTCTTTAAATGTGTGTTGTTGATAATGCAGTCTGGTCTTCAGCAGATGTTAAGTGGACAACGCTCCCTAACCTTTAACTGTCTCTGTCACACTGTGTAAAATCACATCATCCCAAATGGATTTTTTCTGATACCACCTTAATGAGCACCATAATAAAATGCTGATGCACGTGTGTTCCTGGAGTGTTTATGTTTCCTATCAACTGCAGGAAGCCAATGGGAAGCACTTTGACTTTTTCCTCAGAGAGACTGGTTCTGTGAATGTAATTAATACACTGAAAAGTGTTGTCAACATGAACGGTTACAGTATCCAAATCATTATTATGTACTATCAAACCACAAAGGCTGAAGTGTTTGGATTCATTTACTAGGCTGCGAACAGCATCACTGACTGTCAACCAGCACAAGAGGCAGACGCCGACTCTATACTTCCAATAGATGGAATAAAATAAGTTTTACCTTACTTAAATACACACTTAAAAATGTATCCCAAAGTCTTTATCTATTGATCAAATGCTGTTTTTAAAAACATTTCCTTCATGTGGATCAAAGACATCTGGTAATCGTTCACAGACTTCATCTTCTCACAAATTTCTAAGTCCCTCCACAGGTTGTAATGCTTTTTAGCAACTTTCCACTAAGTATTACAGTATATTCACATATTATTAGCCCAACCACGGGAGGAGCACCTTAGAATCCTACATTTTTTGTCAGAAAGTACTTTTAAATTAAAAAATATTGCAATCTCATATTTTGAGAATAATTTTGAACCTTCTTCAAAACCTGAAGCACTACATTCATACTGTGATAATAAAACAGTATATTCATTATATATACTGTATATTAATAATATATGGAATAATATAATTATTTTGAATGTACTTTGGTAAATAATCGGAGAGTTACAAAAAGTGAGTAAGAAATATAATGAAATGTTAATAGTAAGTGATAACAAACAACACTATACAGGACCATTAAAAACTAATGAGCAGCAGGAGAGTGGGGAACAGCCACACTGTTGAGCTGCTCATCCTCTTTAGTGTGAAGAGCTGCGTGTATCCATTTTTGGTCATCGTATCTTTTTTACTATTAAAACCAAGAATTAACTGAAGGAGAAGATTAAAACAAACATTCACAGGTCAAAGTAACACTCTGTGAAATTGTCTCTTCGATGCGTAAATGCCGTAAAAATTCTGGCCTGTAACCTTTAAACCTGGGGTTTAAAGCAGCTCCAGGTCAAGGTTAGATGTTACAGTCCTGATCCAACCACAAACCCATTTCCACGACTTCATCCTGAGCCGAGGATCGGATTTCAGGCCGTATCAAAACAAGTCACTTTGTCAGATGTAATTACACAGGTAGCATAGCTCACAAGACCAACAAACATAACTGCTGCATGACATCCTGAGGACAGATCAAAGGAGGGAGAACAGAGCTGTTAACAACTCACACCATCTCATCATTATCATGAGTGTGTGTGTGTGTGTGTACGAGTACAACATAATGCAATAGTATTGCCGAATAGGCTCTCTCTCTCTCTCTATATATATATATATATGTCAATATTTATATATTCTTTTTAATAATTAATAGTTCATAATTTTGCAGTTCTGCCTCAGTCCTTTAAGCAAAAACCGTTTAACTTATGTCCATTTAAAGGCCTGGAGCCAGGACCTGCTCCACCCTACTCACTAACCCTCTTCTCCCTGGTCATCAGCTCCATCACCTGCCCTCCTGTGTTTACCCTCCTTGTTACTACCCTGTGTGTACCACACCTGCAGATAGCCTGCCTTTTTGTCTACCGTATACTGTGTATGTATCTGTCATTTACCGGTTTGCTGCTTCATTGCGTCTCATCAGTGTTCACTGTGTCTTGTGATAAATTGTGTTTTGTTTCTCAGTTCACCTGGAGCTGAAGGTTTCATTTTCAATAAGGACTTTTTTTAACATTATTTCCTAACTGAATCACCTGAGAACTCCACAGAGTTTACCTCTGGGTCACTAGAGGTGATATTGTCCATGTCCATAAACCAACATCTGTCAGATAAGCTTGATCGTTAGTATCAAATACTAATAATATTAGTGCATTAGTGAGTGGTCCAGAGTGAGGTGAAGACAAATGCTACCTGGGTCTACTGCTGAAGTAAACAGGCTGATGGCAATCACCAAAATTAAAAATATTATTTTAAATTATTATGACTACCTTTGGATGTGTACCATATTCTTTTTTGTTTAATATGCACTGTGTCTTTTTTGGGTATTATTATTTTTCTCCTCGTCCTTATCCGTGCACCACAGAGGAGTGCATGTGGGTTGGAGCCAAAAAGGAACAAGATGTTATCTCACCTCCCTGTGGAAAGACGAGCAACGAGAATGAATGCAGCCTGACCAGACCAGGTGTACAATAAAGCCTTTCTTCTCTCCTCTCTCTGTTTACTATTGACCTGCCCTTAAATAAACCCCCACCCCCCAAAAAAAAAAACAAACACATGCCACGTTACAACCTCACTATTTTGCTTTTAATATTATATTGTATATTTTAACATTATGTATTTTAATAATCCCGAGGTTAGAATATTTGTTACGTCCTGTAAACTAAGAAACAGGCAGGACAC